CCCGGCGCTGAATAAACATACCTACTTTACAACTTCTCTAAGTTGTCCCTTTTCCGCACGTCATGGAGTGGGTGCCCAGGGGTTTGGGGCAGAGTCCCATCTGCTTTATCGAATCGGTGCGGGACTTAACAGCTTCAGGCGCTCCTGGTGAGTGGGTAGGCCACATAAGACTGGGAGGGCAACATTCCCGGGAAGTGTGTTTAATATTGTAGCCAGCGAAGTTACTGGTAAAATTAAAGCAGGTGGGCCAGGCAAAGGATTTCTGGGCGGCCTGGCACAGGGCTGATACCTCTGACTGGCTTTAGTGAGATCTGGCTTTCATCGGCATTCAGAATTAGTTCACCCTTTCATTTCTCTGAGCAGGGCATCAGCACAGCTGAGAGAGCGCTAGGTAAGATAGCAAATGAACCCAAGATTCCCTTTTGGTTTCAACAGAAATATCTTTTTTAAAGATACGTGAGGCTGCATCTCAAGTACTGTGTTCAGTTTTGGGCCCCTCACTACAAGGAAGACATTGAGGCACTGGAGCGTTTCCAGAGAAGGGCAATGAAACTGGTGAAGGGTCTGGAGAACAAGTCCTGTAAGGAGCGGCTGGGTGAGCTGGGGTTGTTCAGTCTGGAGAAGAAGAGGCTGAGAGGAGACCTTATGGCTCTTTCCAACTACCTGAAAGGAGGCTGTAGAGAGGTGGGGGTTGGTCTCTTCTCCCAAGAAACAAGTGACAGGATGAGAGGAAATGCTGCTGCACAACTGAGGTGACACAGGATTTCATGTACCAGTAACTTGGAATACATGGAGGAGCACACATTTTGGAAAGAAAAGTTTCAATGCTGTACTTCTTTTCTCCTTTTTAACACGATGATTCACTATCCAACTTTTTTTTGGTTTTTTTTGTGGATATATCTTTTCACAATGTTTTCCTCAGGCCAGGACTGCAGGTACAAGTGAGACCTAGGAGTGAAGAAGGACAGATGGCACTATAAACTGTATTTTCCTTGTGGCAAAATGGCACTTCCTGTAAACAAAGGGGAAAAAACAAACCGAGAAGTGTAACCTTATCCTAGAAGTCCTCGAGCTCATCCTTCCTATTAAAAAAAATGTGAAATTTAAATGTACCAATGCTTTGTGCCTAAAATGTCTATGCTACTTAGGAGTAAAAGGAGTTTGTCTAGTACCTCTTTCACTCTGGAAAGGTTGGATATAGGTTTAGATTTGCCTAGCAGGTGTGACTACAAAACCCATAATCCCGAGTGAGAATGCTCACTCTGAATAATCCATTAGGTTCTTTCTGGGAGTAAACCACGTCCTGTTTGTGCAGCCAGAGAGCCAAGCTGAAGGAGGTAGTAGCTCTGTTTAACTCATCAGCAAAGATGATAGTGCAATACAATAATGAGGCTCACTAAGCCACACGTCATTCTATCACAGTATTTGGTGTGTGGTTAAAACCCAAGGGATGTAGTTGAGCATTGCAAATCTGCTCAGAACTGATGCCTTCCACCCCTGTATGTGTTGGAATATCATGCCTGCAACCTGCAGCTAGCCTTGGCTTAGACCACTGTTCTCCACTGCACTCAGCACGTCTCTAATTGATCAAACTGTAAACTTTTTAGATCTCATCAGTTGCGTACCTTTGATATTTGAAGACTAAAACAAAAGACATGTTTTAAAGCAATGCTATTATTATAATTTTGTTTTCATTTCATAGCTGTAGACTCTTTCATCAAATGCTATAGAACACTATATTGCTTCTCATGGTAAGAACTTCACATGGGTAGGTTTTACCTTAGGGTAATAAGCAATTAGCAGTGTATTAGTGCTTTTTAAAATTATTGTAGACTTAGCTTCTCCTATACAACTGAAAATACAACTCAGCTCAGAATCTGGCTCAAGAATTATGATTGTTAATGTATTTTGGGCTAACACAGATCATTAATATCTTTGAGTATTCTGGGACTTTTGGATTTTGAATTGGATTTGAGAGACAGTAAAAAGGAAGGCAGTATTGCAGTTGGCAGAGAAGATATTTTAGATGATCAGTTACCTCAAAAGGACAAGATGTAATTTATTTTAAAGAAGTTTTCAGAATTTAAAATGATCCATCAAAAGGCAGTAGAAATTTAAATTCACATTAAAAAAATCTATGAGATAAATTGATGGCAGTTCAGCCTAAAGGCAGAATGGCCTTGCTAAAACCCTAAGTCCATAACACAGGAGAAAAAAATGCCATTTTGGAGATAAATTCATATACTTAATGATATTACCTTGCACAAAGCCCATACTATCTTATTGCACTGAGGAGCTTGGAGCAATGAAAATAATGTTCAAAGCCTCATTAGTGAGCCTTTAGCATATGGCTAGTTTTGTCTTCTGTACATTCTCCTACACCAGCTCACCACACTATTACGTGTTTGTTTTACATGCTGATATCTGTATAGATTGAAGGAGATTTCCAGTTGATTTTTCAATGTCATGGAGGTGTCTTTTCAAATTCCTTGAGAGCTACTACAGAATTGCTGATCTATATCACCACTGATAATTATTTGTTTTTAAATACACAACATTTATAATCTGGATTATGTAAAGTACACAGAAAGATCCACAGCAACTGTGATTCTCTTGAGACACTTATATAGACCACCTACATCCATTAAAATGACTGTTGATTTATATAGCTCAGCATACAATAACCTGTTGATCTCTGCATTTTGTGTGATGATACATTATAGAAGCACCTTGTAACACCTCTGCTAGTGAAGAGCTGAAACTGCCCAGTTCTGTGTAACCATAAACACTTCAAAAATCAGATTAGCCAAAGATTGTATGTACCAGAGGAAAAATTTATCTGATTCCTAATTTTTCTTGCTGAAACTTTATTTTACTTTCTTTCAGTGTGGCAAATAATAAAGAAGAGGCTTAACCCATCCTCAGCTGTATATTATATCCCTAAATCCATGTCCCAGGGTAAAGTAATACTCTTTATGTGGCAAGAGCACCATCATGCTTCTGAGGATCTCAAATCACTTTTCAGATATTAAAATCCCCAGCACCATAGTGAGATATTTACGAGTACATGGCAGTGACCTTCATTTTACAGATGAGGAATCTGAGGTGCAGAAAAGTTAAACAACTTGGCCAAGATTACAAAATAAGATACTGGAGGAGCAAAGAACATGGAATCATTGATTTTTCAGCCATGTGCTTTAACAGCTAGAAAATTCTCCTTCTGAGAAAAGGGAAGGAAAGAATAAAGGGGGAAATGGGAATAAGAAACTAGAGATGATGTAGATAATTCTTAAGATATATTGGCAGAGTGGTGTATGAGATATAAGGGAAAATGAGAGTAGCTTCCATCTGAAATACATCCACAGAGGGAGAGATGTGCAGCCTGCTGGGGTAAGCTCTCAAATGAACAGTCAGCCATTAAATAGAAATGTGGATTTGAGATCTATCAGTTGGGACATCTTCAGACAATTTATACCCATGACCAAGTAATACTGGCTGCTGTTCAATATCTGATCAGCTGAAAGAATCTTTATTAGCAACCGTGAACGACTGCGCTGCAGGATATAGATGAAGCAGAACTGAATGTGCTGGGGAGGCAGCCCCACGCATCTTGGCTATCCTGTTGCCTTCACTTTATGGTACAGAATCATCAATCAAAGCTGATCCCATTACTTCTAAAGGAAAATCAGGGAGCTAGAGTTCTACATTACCTGCAAACTCATTTCAAAATATGTATTTCTAAAACAAAAACCCTTGCTCACAGGTGAGATTTTCCAAAATATTCAGCACTGGCCCAAAACAGCTTCTTCTGGAACTAGCAACAAGAATGTTTTCATTCAGTGGGAGCACAACTTGTCTGAGGCCGTGCTCTTTGGACAATCCCACACAAATTATTTTTGTTCAAATTTTATCCTTCTAACAAGTCACATTTTTCACTATTGTCCTTTAGCAATGAAGAAGCCAAAATTCAAACACTACGAATAACAATGATTAATTTCTTCATTTATATACATAAATATTTTAGTGGAAAGATCAATCCACTGCCAATCTGTTCTTCTGTGGCCTCCCTTCATAACAGCTGGATGTGTCAGGCTTTTGAAAAATTGCTACTCAGGCCATGAGTGGGCATGTTCAGGTCCCCATGTTATAAGCTGCTAACGTTAGAAGTGCCCATGCTTCAGGTCAGGTTATCTCTTGAAACACTTTATTACCCTTTTCTTGGAATATGGGAGTTGAAAGCAGGCAGCCTTGTGGCAGAGAGAGAAATAAAGACAACAACTGCAAAACTGTGTTGTTTTTATTTTAAACATGCAAAATACAGTTCATGCATCTGCCATTTTGAAAAATCTCTCAGTTCGTATCAGATTAAACCAAAGACATTTTGGCTATCGACTCTCAATAAATATTTCAAAATGCTTTACAGTGTAAAGATAAGAAATTTAGCAAAATTTCAACAAACCTGTATAAAAACCAGATACAGATAACTTTTTATTTCAAGGCGACATGCTGTAATGTAAAGAGTTCACTTTTTTTCTGGATTTTTTTTCTCATAAAAATTTTTCAACAATACAACTGCTTAACAGATTTAAGCCTTTAGGCTACACATGCAAAAAAAAAAAAAAGGTTATTTTAGTTAAAAAACACCAAAACGTGCTATTTTTTTTTTTTGTTTAGTATTTCAGTACAGTAATTGTAGACAGTAGCATTTTTCTTTTTTAATTTTGTAAAAGAGTGCAGGCAGGTTCATGGAGCTAGTGTCCTGGAAGACTCGTACTCTGACATACATTTTGGTTTTATCCCTTTGCCATTGTAATAGTCCACGACTTGGTTTGGAACTTCAGCCAAAACGCTTTTTGCTAGAGCAGCTGGGGATGCCTGCAGGAAATGGTAGAAAACATAAGCGTTAACCTGTCTCTCTGCTAGACGTGCCCTGGGTTTTAGAGTCGTTGGTGCCATGAGATCAAGGTAGGGAGTATGGTACGGAAATGGAAGGCAAAAAAGACTCAAAGTGAGCGCACTACTGCTGGAAACTCATTTGATAAGTCAGCTGCCTGAAAATACTACAGTAAAGCCAGAAGTGCTCTGCCTAGGTCCTTTTGGACTGTTTTAAATTCCGTGCAAATGAATTTTCCTTGCACGCTGGAAGAGCACCATACCGCAGTGTAAAGGGCTGCAAAGACTTCATTCATCAGAATTCAGCGGGGAACCCTGCAGAGCTTCAAGTGGAACATGAATGGACATTACTGCAAAAGGGAGGCCTTCATCACCATTCTGCTCTTCAGGATCTGGCGTGGTGAAACTTTTAATTAAATAAAAATTACTTTGTTTTCATTGGAATTAAACCATGGTCACAAGAAAGCTTCAATCCTAGGCTTTGTGGAGCTTTTAAAGCTCTTCCTGCAATGTATAAATGGTGGGTGTCAACCCAACTTAAGAACTGATGACCCTGAAATGTAGAGATGGATATAGAGATGGCCACTGGTTTTTGCCCCAGGCAGGGAGGAGGGCTACCCGTGAGTGCAATGAGAAACCGTGCCCTCCATCGACAACACACAGTTGCTGCCTCGCACCCCGACGATGATTCATTTTAAGCAGTGGGGCCTGTGGATGTTTTGTGGGCAACCAAGACCTGCATGTGCTGCAGGGATTTTCCTCAGCCCCTGAATTTAGCAGTGACAAAACTGGCCTCCTGTTCTCCCATGCAGCCCAATAGCACCCTCTTGCCTCATGCTTTGGATTTGCTTGTTTCTAAGTATTTGGGTAAAGTTGATTCCAAGCCCTCCAGAGCCAGCCACAAAAAAATGCAGTAAAAATGCAAATGCTTAAACATTAGTTTGAGAGGTTTAAACTAATGTGTTTATCTCCTGACAGAGCACACATGGATCACACATTGCAGCTCGGATGATGCACAGGAATTTGACCAGTGGCTAGGTCACATTTCTCCTGCATACCAAGTACTTTTTCCCACATTAATGAACACTTCCCTCTTAACTGTCTCTTATATTGTCAGCCAGGTTTCAAAACTACCATGTCACAAAGTAGTTGTATTGACTGTTTATTGCCCTACTCTGTTTCATGGGGTGGGATCCTTATCCTTCCAGAGTCATAAAATTAGGCTTGCATAGGCTGTAAATGGTGAACTATTTCATAGGCAAGTCACATAGTTCCCTACCATGACATTTATATCAAAATATTTGTGCAGGCAAAAAAGCCCAGAACATTTCTGCATGAACAAACTGGCAAAGCAGAGCCCATAGTTTGTGTGACAGGCAGCAACTGTTCTCAGGTGTTGCATAGTAACAGAACCCATTGATTTTAATCCTGCAAAGCAAAATGCATGTTTTTCCACAGTTGCCCTGTTATTGCCTAAACCTATTTTCAGTGAAACCAGCAGAAAATACCCCTTGGAGTCAGGCAAATGGCTGATTTCTATGTTGCTATTGAGAATTACTGTTTTTTTAATCTCTTTCCCAGTGTGCCAAAGCTACACATACTTTAGCCTGCCTCTGCGACATCTTAACAAAAAGACAACCCTACATAAAGGGTAAAAATAGGGAATGGGGGGAGTGCTGGGCCATTGCTGCACACAGAAGCCCTAGCAATGAGGAAACTTCACTCTGCTCTATCTTTAAAAATGCTGGACAGGAGCACTTGCTCTAAATCTAAAATTAGGATCTTCTCTAAATTGCGTGTAGTCCATGTGTCTGAACATTGGGCCAGTACTCATCTCTCTGCCTAATCCTCCCGTCGCCACTCCTCTCTCTTCTGACACCACATCCATTCATCCTGAATGAAGGGTCAGCTTTTCAGAACAGGCTCTGTCAGGGCTCAGATGCATGGCTGAATCACCGCCACTTGAGGAGTCAACTGAGCTATGCACTCCTCTCCCAGCATGCATGTGAAGCCTTTCCCTGAGGTTTAAGCTAACACATTTACCGTGCTCATAGGCGCACAGGCAATGTGTGGCCCCACACAGAGTTGCCCCTTTGGGTAGCTGGCTTGACTCTGCACTTCAGTCTTAACATAGACAACTGTTGCTTTCCAGAGTTTCATCATGACAGTGATGTCTGTTGGTCCTGGGGCTCCTTCCAGCAGGGAGCATCCCGAAACCAGAGTTAGGGGTGATTTTGTGCTTGACAATTTGGGCCACCTGTATCGTATGCACTTTTGTGGTAGTTAAGCAATCTCACTTCTAGATCAGATTGTGCAAAGCAGCATTTGTATAAGTAAAAATCAGACCTAGTAACTTCTGAGCTAAAAATCAGGGCCAGTTCAGCAGTGCTGAGTAAGGGTTACCTTTGCTGGGTTTTTAACACAGATGGTACATGAATGTTTTACTGTAATGTTTTCTCCACTGTTTAACTGCTATGCTTGAAGAGCATCCTAGCAATAAACACCTCAAGATGAATAGTTCTTAATTAATGGCTAATACACAACAATCAGATCAGCCAGCAGCAGGAAAATAATCCCCTATGATGATAATTGGTGTATATTACAAATGACTGTTGATTCAGTTCTATAGCTTCACCATGCTTAATCTTTAATTACAATGCATAGTGCAAAACATTGCTCCTTGCAGTGGTTAAGAGCTGTGCTTTCCACATTCATTTGTGATACATGTGTTATTAAGTCACAGTTGTTAGCCTTTATGATTAAATACATTGCAGAGTGGAGTACAAGCTACCTGTGGCATCAGTTTTGTGCACAGTAAATCTATCATCCATCCTGAAGGCAGAGAATTTCAGCTCTTAAAATATGACTGGGAATGGACTGAGACAGGTGATTTTCTTTAAGTACATTTCAGTGATTGCAAGCATCACTGTTCTGCAGTTTCAGGTGAAGGACACTCACATTGCTGGGGTGGTGATAATTATAGAGAAGAAATTCACTTTAGTTCATGGAAAATATTTTCCCTTTGTTTATGTTCCTCTGTAGTGAATTGCACATGTCACCCACTATACAATGGAACATTTTTTTTAAGCAGTAAGGGTTACCTTGATTTTATCACGCCTCTGCAACTACAGGATTTGCAAAGAATCACAACAATTCTTATTGCTATTTTGATAGCTTCAAAGATATTCCTTAAGAGAGTAAAAAAGGTAAGATGCTTTGCTGAAGTACTCTCTATAGGGAGATTAAACCCCTATGATAAAGCTTTCTGTCTATGCTGGGTCTCGAGCCAGTAAAATGTTGAAGTGGGTATGAAGTTTTAGGTATATGAATAATTGTAACTAATTGAAATGTGTTCAATGCCCATATAAGCGCTGTGCAGGATCAGAACCTTCTCTGAAATCAAACTTATAAAATATAAGGGATTCACTCTGTAGGTTATTTTTACAATTTCCTCTTTCCCCCTTTCAATTTTCTCACAGAGGCAGCTTTTGGATAGATTATTTTTGATCTCTTTGGATAGATATGAGATTTTGAGTTCCAGGCGGACCTAAGAATTGAAGTAATGAAAAAAGGTATTGTTTGGGTTGACCCCAAGTTAATTTTGGTTTACTGTTGCAGCAAAACAAAAAATAATTGCTCACAAATAACATTTTCTTCCCTCCTTCCATCAGTAGTAGAGGTAATATGGATTTAGGCATAATATTTGATTAATCAGAAAAACCTATAAACCTTCTACATCTTGATTTGTAGTCTTTCTAAAAAAGATCCTTCAACTTTTTTCTATTTAATAGTTGAACAACCTAAATATCAAAACTAAATACAGAGTACATTGACAAAAGGGAAGTGATTTTTAACAAAATATATCTTTTACTTAAAGCTGTCAAATGTAATATACTGATTTATGGAAATTCTTGTGTTTTATTAGAACTCATCTAACAAAAATATCCCAAATGTGTTAAATCCGCATTTCTCTGTTGGGAAAAATAGGTTGGAATCAAAACATCACACTAATTTCTTCCGTGAAAGATTATTTCACTAGCTGATGCAAAAGGAATTGTCTTTTGTTTGTGCTGAGGATATGTAAGCAGGATAACTGTAACTGTCAGTTTTTTTCAGACAGAGAGATTATTTGGGATATGACAATAAAAAAATTCAACTAGAAGGGGTTATTGTTGTGGCCACTCATCCATTACACTGACATTTGTTGAAATACTGAAAGATCACAATAAACAGACTAAATATCAAGTTGCGTAAGATATATTGACTTTTCTGATATAGCAAATACATTATCTATTTCTGTATCTATATTATCTCTGCTACTGAGAGAAAGTGGGAGGAAAATACCACTATTTAACAAGAGCAATAAATTTTTAAGATTGCTATCCTCTCCCAGTACTGGGGAAGTTAATCTATAAGAGATAAAAATAATATATGCTTGTCATTTGATCAACGCTAGCAATTAAAATCACATGTAGCCTCACTCACAAGTTAACACCAAAGGCACAACATATTCAGTGCCCAGAACTGCAACTGTCAGTGTGAATCTATTCAGTCAAGGATGACTTCAACTTTGCTATAAAATCACAAAATGAAACTAAAAATAACAAATGCAGCTGGTTTTGCCAGTTCCTTGCAGAAACTTGTTTTTGACTGATTTAAAGTAGGTCTAGCACTAGCCCATAAATAACTTGCCTCTTGACACTTTTGCAATAGACAACAGTGCATTTGTGATTATCTGATGAAGGAGCATCATAAGCTATGAGCAAGCAGGTCGTGCTCATGCTTTGTTCTGGCAGATATGTGGCTGAGTGGCACTGTCAGCATAGAAATGTAGGTATCTACAATTCAGTGGCAAATCTGTAACCATTTGGCATGGTATCACCAAACTAATAACACAAGGTACTTTTTATCTCCTGTGAGGATCCATTGTTTACATAAAGGTGGAGGGAAAAGAGGAACAAACTTGTTTCTCTTACTCCTCAGTAGAGTTTGTGAAAGTAAGAAGTGCATCTAGATCTAAGACAAATATGACAAAATTGTATTTTGAAGTGAGAATAAAGAGCAACTCTTGAGAAGAGGAAAATAAAATTAAGGTATTTTGGAAATAGAAAACAAAACAAAAATCCTGTGGTAACAAAGAGACTAGGATAAAAAAAAAAAAAGAAATGTAAGCATTGCAAACCCATGTGCAGATCAAAACCAACCCAGAGTTGGAAACTTCTGTGTGACATATCGAGATCCAAGGGTCACCAGCATATGGGAGCAGATTGGAAAGGGCAATCTCTTGAGGAGAATGAGTCAGTTGTTACACTGTGGGGTAAAGAAATTTTCAAATCAAATACCAAGGATATCTTTCTGAGACACTGAGGGAGGCAACCAGGATGCCGTGGGTGGATAGTCCTGCCTGTGAGAACTTAGGGACCTAAATTTCAATACAGAAACAACCTCCTGGGGAAGACTGTGAGTAAAAATTTGCAGCCATTTCAGCTGCCTGTGGAAATGAAGGGATGGAAAGCTGAATACAGTAGTCTTAATAGAACAGATGCAAAGAGAATGGAAAAGAGACACCAGGAAAAATAAGTCAGGGAGGGCAACCAAACTAAAATCAGGGAGAAAGCGGAGGTAAGGACTGGCACCACAAGAAGCACATGGATTCTGCCCCATCTCTTCTTTCCCTGCCCTCACCATCTCACTAATGGAGCACATTTCATTCTGTATTCCCTTTTTTTCTTCATTTGTGACACAATACTGTCATAGACTTACTAAACACTTCATGCCCATCCAGAATTAGGCCCAGCCCCAGGGGCCATTCACCATATATTATATACATTCAACCTTCTGCAGAATGGACAGAAAAGTCAGCTTACGTGTTTGAAGTTCCTAAATGGCACAAACTGGACAATGTCTCGAAGCACAGGCTCGCCCTTGGGAGACCTCAGGATCCCATCATCACCATCCAGCATCTGCATGTCACTAAAATCAGCGTTCCCCACTCCGACAATGATGACTGACATGGGAAGATGAGAGGCATGGACAATGGCCTCTCTGGTGTCAGCCATGTCTGTGATGACGCCATCCGTTAGAATCAGCAAGATGAAATATTGCTGAAGTTGTTGAACAAGAAGTGAAAAATTACATCATTAGTTAATCTTCCAAAGCTGCTTGCCCTTTTCCAGTATAAAACTGTTTCTGGTAACTCACTTATGGAAGTTTTGGAATACAAAAGAACCTTTATAGTGTCTCAAAGGTCAAATGTGTTTCCTGTCCAAACCTCATAGAATCATAGAAGCATAGAATAGTTTGGGTTGGAAGGGACCT